CAGAAATCAAATACAGAAGAGATGAGAGTGTGATTACGTTGTAAGTATGGAAAAAAACCGACCTGTAGAACAAAATGTAAATGGGTACACATGAAGAATTTATTTGCTTTGTAAACTTTTAATCAAATCATAGTTATGTAAAAAGTAAAATAAAAAATTAAAAAATGGGTCTAGAAATCACAATACCTTGGAGGCCATTCTGCTTTTTCGCCACAAGATGGCAGAGAAGAACGCAATAACCATACCCTAGTTATTGTGTCCAATCTCTTAAATGCGACGAGAGAAGGGAGCAAAGACTAAAATTAATGCAAACACAAGGTGCGGCCTGTTGGTGGCCTCTGTCCCCAGCTCCTACGGTGGCGAGCCTCAGAGACTGCAGAAACTGCTGAGTTGTTGTAGGTCAGGGAAGTGAACTACAAACTCGCAATTTTACATGGAGGGAGTCCATTGCTTGTTAGATGAAACAAGATTGCGCATCCAAAATAAGGGAATCTTTATTCCTCAGTTTAAAGGGCCTGCATCCCCACTTTCGGGCGAAGGATGAGTGATCTTCTCTGGTGCTATTATAAGTCTCGGAAAAGCCGCTAGAAGTTCGGCTGTAGGTCGGTTCTGACAGGATGGAACACAACAAACCACCACATGCCCAACTTAAAGGGAAGAGATAATAAAACATACAAGGAAACCATTGAGGGTGAGGACAGGGTTAAGTTTTGGGGTTGGGGAAGAGTTGAGGTTTGGAGGTGAGGGTGGAAGCTTGAAATTAGGATGGAATGTTTGTATTATTGATGATGATGATGTTTGGGAGGAAAATATATTTACAGTATTAATCAGTTCCTTAAGGAAGAGAATGACGAGGTGACTGGAAATGGTGAGGCCTGTGTAATGGAAGATAGATAATTTGAGTGCTACTAAAATGGGTGGAGTGGGAGTTGAAGGATTTTAATTTACTTGAAAAGTATCTCATCGTGCCTTGGAAATCTCCATGCCCTAGTATTTCTTACTTGCTCCCCTCTCCTACACCTGTGGCCTTCTCTGGGTTTTGCTTTTTTCTATGAACCTTAATTTCTAATTCCTAGCAATGAATCTGAAAGCAGCTCCAAACCTAGCCTCACTGCCTGATAGAAACACTGTTCAGCCCCACTGTTAAATTGCAAGTTGCACTGCGGACTTACTTAGCAGCGTTCCCCTGATTCAAACTCACCCAAGAGAAAAGTTTCTTAAAGAGTTCAACATTGAAAAGACTGTCTTCTGACTGCTGAGTTCCGGAAGTTCTCGCAGTTAATTCAGCATTCTAAATTGAAATGTTCTAAACCAAAACCCCAATGACAAGATTGGCCAATTGCAGCCCATGGTGGGGTTTTCAAATACTGCCGCTGACCACAGTTAGAGCCATCATTCAAAGAAAGGGAGGGAGGAGGGGAAGGTTGGGAGGAAAGTGCAACAATGAATATATGGAAATCCAAAGTCTGTATATTTTCATTGAAATTAATAATTAAAAAATAAATTTAAAAAAAGGAATAAAGAGAAAAATTTGCTTTCGCAACGAGGCGAAAACTGGAAGAGTCAAAGAGCTCCTAAGGGGAAAAGTAGTACTGGGTAAGTATGGTACAAGGTAAGGAATGTGTTGGTGCATCTTTCTGTGCGCTTTTCTTCAAATATCAAAAATGCATCCCCCTATTCACAAGAAACTATGGGGAAAAGTGTACCAGTTACTTTCAGGAAGTGGTGAGTGGCTCTGAAAAGAGCCTTTGGGTTTGTTAAGTAGAAAAGCAGCTCACTTGGCGCTAGTGTACTTGGTGACGGCCTTGGTGCCCTCGGACACGGCGTGCTTGGCCAGCTCCCCGGGTAGCAGCAAGCGCACGGCCGTCTGGATCTCCCGCGACGTGATGGTGGAGCGCTTGTTGTAATGCGCCAGGCGGGACGCCTCACCGGCGATGCGCTCGAAGATGTCGTTGACGAAGGAGTTCATGATGCCCATGGCCTTAGAGGAGATGCCGGTGTCGGGGTGGACCTGCTTCAGCACCTTGTACACGTACACCGAGTAGCTCTCCTTGCGGCTGCGCTTGCGCTTCTTGCCATCCTTCTTCTGCGCCTTGGTCACGGCCTTCTTGGAGCCCTTCTTCGGGGCGGGAGCGGACTTGGCTGGCTCAGGCATAATGACTTGACTCCTCACTTTAAGGAAAAGACAGATCTGTAGAGTTGCTGGCTTATTTATAAAGTAAGATGCAAATAAGGATGAGTAAAAGTTTCCCTAATTGGTGGCTCAACGACAATTTGGTCCAATCAGAATATGATAATTTTTTTAAGCAAACTGTGTTTCCGTTGGTTGAAATAAAACTACGTTTTGGCCAATGGCTTAGCTTTATTTTCGCGCCCAGACTAACTGTAGCGACAGGTATCTATAAAAGATAGGTGTTTGCAGTTAGGTTTCACTCACTTCGCTGAGATCTACACTGTAGCGTCATGTCTGGACGTGGCAAGCAGGGCGGTAAGGCGCGCGCTAAGGCCAAGACTCGCTCTTCTAGGGCCGGTCTCCAGTTCCCTGTGGGCAGAGTCCACCGTCTGCTCCGCAAAGGCAACTATGCCGAGCGGGTGGGCGCCGGCGCTCCGGTCTACTTGGCGGCGGTGCTAGAGTATCTGACGGCCGAGATCTTGGAGCTAGCGGGTAACGCGGCCCGCGACAACAAGAAGACGCGCATCATCCCGCGCCATCTGCAGCTGGCCATCCGCAACGATGAGGAGCTCAACAAGCTCCTGGGAAAAGTCACCATCGCGCAGGGCGGTGTGTTGCCCAACATCCAGGCCGTGTTGCTGCCCAAGAAGACCGAGAGCCACCACAAGGCCAAGGGCAAGTAAAGTCTGGGCATACATTAAAAACCAAAGGCTCTTTTCAGAGCCATCCACCGTTTCTTTGAAAGAACTGAACACTTACTCTTCATAAACCTAAGTATCTAGCTGAAATTAACGTCATAAAACATTACTTTGCTGTCTTACAATGTTTTGCAATGTCTAAAGTGCCCCAGTTGCATTTGTCAAACAGAAAAAGTAAACTTGTACCCTTTTGCGCCAAAGAAAAAGTGTTAGGCCTAATGGAGTATTTGTTAGAATCCGATCGCCCTGGCTCAGGTGGCTTACGATAAGTAAGTTAGTTCGAGGTCTGAATTCAAGAGTCCTCCGCGGAAGGAGATGGGCAGTGATTGCCTCTAAGCACCCGTTGGAGGCTCTCTTCCGACTCTGGTACACAGCTCATGGCCCTTTGGTTAGCTGAGATCAACCCTAATCCAAAATTTGAGCGCTCTCCACTTTTAATAGAAGTCATTCGTCGATCTTTTAAAATCTATCATATTGATACATCCTATGTAGCCCACGTACAGGCTATGTCCTATCAGCATCAAAATCATCGGGATCCAAGTCATTGGCAACATTACATTGTCCACACATTTAGTTTTCTCAATCCCATACTGAACACAGTTCCTCTGCCCCCGATAGAAACCTTCCAAATCTACTTTTAAAAGCATCTTTGTGTAGGTAGAGTCTTGGTATGGTCTTTAAATGTATGTAGAGCTCGACACAAAATTCTTCAGGGACAAAGGAAATGAAGATACGTAAAATGCAAAAATGAATGAATGGAAATCCAAACTCCCTAAACGTTCATTAAAATTAATTGTTGTTACGTGCCGTCGAGTCGTTTGCGACTCATAGCGACCCTATGTACAACAGCCCTAAACCGTGCTCTATCCTGTGCCAATCTCATTGCCTCTGACACACCCATCC